CAGCCCAGCCAGAGCCCCCCCATCCCCACCCGCACCGTGCCCATCAGCGACGCCGCGCAGCTACCTCATGACTATTGCACCACGCCCGGGGGGACGCTGTTCTCCACCACGCCTGGAGGTGAGCGCCCGCCGCCCGTCGTGGCCCCGGCACCGCGCGGCCTTCATCTCCGGAGCCTGCAACCGGTTTCCTCCGCCGTGTTCCCCCAGTCTCCCGCCACGGTCCTTTAACTCAGGGCGTGTCCACGCTGGGCTGCTTCGGCCAACCCCCCGCCCCAACCTGCCCAACTCCACCAAAGCCCCCGTGGGAACCTTAACTTAACATTCTTTCTTGCCTGCAGCTCGATTCAGCGCACGCTCACTCTGGAAACGTGGCTCTCCTGTCGCGAAAAAAAAAAAGTCCTTGTTCCCACTTCGTGGCAGATTTACACACTCGACCTAGTTTTCTCCCCCTTCTCCTCCTGGGCAAATTCATCTACGCTTGGCCTTATGCTCACTCTGCATTACCTCTGCTTCTTGCATATTGTGCATCTGTGCACATTAATGCTTGATTTTGCAGCTGTCTCCCAGGCCATTTTAGAAAGGAAGTTGGGGAGAATAATTCGCTTCTGGGACCCTGTGATGACTTGTTTTGCTGCTATTGGAACACAAGGAGGAGGCTGGAATGCGGAGTTTGGAAGCCTCGCCCAGCGCTATCCTGCTTTGACAGCATTGTTTACTTTGTTGGACGAGGCCCTATGAGGGGGAATGTGGGGGTGGGGGGAGAGACTCCAGGCTGGAGGAGAGAGTGATAAAGTAATGCTCAAGTAATAGCCAAGAGAAAGGAGGTGGGGGTGGTAGAGCGTTGGCACCCTTAAGAGTAGGGTTTTGGCTGCAGCGCTTTTTGGAAATAGATCAAAGTGGCCATTGTCAAGGAGGGCACCCTGGTTGGTGGGATTACTTGATCCTGGGGAAGGGGCAGTGCGGAGGGAGGTTCCTGGGCATTGCTTTTCAAAGTAGGACCAAGAACTGTTTACAAGGAAGAACACTAGGGTAGAGGTGAAACGCGTTGAATTGGTCTCGGGAAAAGAGAGCTCAAAGGTTGTGTGTCCCCTGACTGGGCTGTTCTCCAAAGGGAGGAGACTGGAAAGCGATCTTGAGGGACCTCATTGAAGGGAATGGTGCTTCACTTTTAACTGCAAAACTTTGCCTTCATTTGGTGTTGGAGTGGCCTGTTGCTAGAGGATTGGGACTGTGCTGGCAGCCCTGGCAATCTACAAGATTGCTAGCTAGCTTTGTTCCCGTAGGCTGGGCTCACCAGTTGTTCTACAACCAATCCGGTGCATTTAGGTCTGGGCAATCCTTGAATCCGTTGCACAATAGCAAGGGACCTTAGAGTTAGAAGACCTCTTTGCCAACAAAGGATAAAAATCTAGGAGAGAACTCTGTAGAGGAATCCAGCCAGGCTGCTCTAGTGGAAGGATTGCTGGCTTTAAAGTAACCCCGGCAGGAGAGGTTCATTATGTGTATGGAGCACTAGGTTTAAGGAAGTTTTAACTTTGCGGAACAGTGGAGTTTTTCAGTGAAGTGGCTTACCTAGTTGGAGAAATCTCCCTCCTGTCTGATCTATTCAAGGCTAGCCCAGCCCCTGAGCTTGCTCTGAGACCTTGCTTTTTAATTGTGAAAGATTTTGGCAGACCAGAATCTCCAGATAGAGTTGTCTTGAACTTGAACTGACAACTTTTAAGAAATGGATATTGTTCCCTGAGGTGATGGGAAGGACTTTATAACTTCTAGAATTCTTTATGATATTGGTCAGTGCCTATGCTTCCAGTAGTTCAGAACATGTCATAGTAACAACTGCACTCAGCTATTATTTATTTGGGGAAAGAATTGAACTTTTATCTACATATTAATCACTATTCCCTTGAGAGAAGAGCCGCAGACGGGTACCCTTTTGGCATATTTCAAACAGCCAAGCTGCCATGCTTTTAAAATAAGGGCATAGTCTTTAAGCATTGCTTTAAAGATAGGAGCCTGTCTCATAGTCTGGATTAGTTCCTAAAATGCTTGGAAAGATTCTGCCAGAAATACTGATTCATTTACCCTTCTTCCCAACACACACAGTCACTGCTCCTTTCTCAGATGTCACTAAACCTGTCTCCAGATAGTTTCTACACACACAGTTTTTTGTTTCAGATTTAAATACTTGTCATCTTAGCTCATCTATTATATTAAGCCTGTATTTATTGATAGAACACATTGTGATCTTCGGATTTTTAACAGGAATACTTAACATAATGTGTTTGGAGGATATAGCACTGTTGCAATTGGGTTTAATCGCTATTTAATAGCAGTTAACTCAGTGCTGTTTAGATGTTTGATATTTGCTGATTTAACTTTCTCTCTTTGGAAATTTTCTGTGCTCATGGCTGGTTCATTTCTCTTGTTACATGTCCCCCTGACTCACACTCCCTTGTAATTTTATTTCTCTGGAACCAGGCTAAAATAGTTTGTTGTTAATTTGGTCTCCTCCAGATACCTGAATTAATGGGTTAGGTATCTGAAGTGAGTTTTGTGGGCCTGGTGCAGTGCTTTGCACAAAAGGAGGCCACAGACAAAAATAGGAAATGCAGTCCTTGGCTCTGAATGGTCTTAAGATCTTGATGAGTGCTGAGGTTAAGATTTTTAGTTGTAGAACAAAAAAAAACTTATATGTATGCATAGAGTCAAGTGCTAACTTACATATTCGGACTTGAACACATTTAGACAAATGAGAGTCAGTAGGCTTGTGTTGGAAATCTCTTATTTACTGGAAAGAAAGGGGATTAGCATTTTCTGTCTCAAACTTCTGGAGTGTCCTACGCATGTCAGAGCATTCCAGAATAACAGTTGATGTGCTGAATGCCCGAAATGACCAGACTGGGCAGGGACATTCACTACATAGTGAACTTAAGATCTCTCCCATCTTGAGTCCTTTATTCTTTGGGGATCAGAGGATACAGCCTACCCTTGGAAAGGTTTCTCAAAATTGCTTTCCTGTGGTTTGAGAAATGAGAGGTAGGTGAAAACACACTTGCTGTAATCTTTTGGATTTTTCTTACTGCTTTTCTCATTATTAGGAAAGAATATTTTTGTTGAATAAATTCATGGCAAAAAAAAATGCCCTTGGATTTTACTTTATTTTAGTTCTTCCCTTGAGAAGCTACTTATTGTTCGCTTCACTTTTGTAACACTCTGGTTAGCTGAGATAAATTGAGGCCCAGAGAAATTAAGTAACTTGTTGGTGTCATACTGCTAATTAATGGAAGTGGGTAGCCTCAAATTTAGTGTCCTATCTCTATCCCAATTTTCTCCTCTACTTTCTTAAGATGCTTTAACTGGGAAGGGAAGTTTGCAGACATTTAAAAAGACTTTTCTACCTCCGGAATGCTAGCTGATGTGATTCTTTCTGCTACCTTTTCCTTTTGTAGATTCTGAACTGTCTCCTTCTAGGAGAATCGTGCTTTGAGGAATGAGCAGAAGCATAGAGACCTCTTTTAGCCTTTCTTCTTGCCTTTCTTTTCCTGTGTAACAGCCTCATCAGCTGTGGAAAATGCCATAACAAGAGCACCAGAGGGGAACTAACTATGATGGTCTGAAATCTTGTTCATGCCTTTGCTCTTCCTTCCTGCCAGCCGGAGAGTTGCTGTGATTGGTTCGCTGGGGCAGAATTACCTGAAAGCCATCGTAAGGGTCTGGAAATAAAGAAGGCAGGGAAACGGGAAAAGAATCTGCTTGGATTATTAATAAGAATGTTTCGTGAGAGTCCTGAGTTTTAATCTGGTTTCTTGGGAGAACTGAATAAAGCTCTGTGTGTACATACGGGGAAAGAAGGCCTGTTTCTGACTCATAAAATTTCTAATTCAGTGACCTTGGGCTGAGTTTATTCTAGGCCAAAAACTTCTGAGCTAACAAATGTCAAATATTTGGCTCTTTAGCTTCAATTATTAACCAAAGGACTTCATTATTACATACGAGAAATGCATGAAAAACATAATGAAAGGTGTTCATTTTGCCTTGTGTTAGAAGATGGCATTTACTCATCTCAGAGTAACACAGATTAACATATTGTCATCTCATGCTACATTCAGCTTTAGTCTCATATTCATCAGCTGCCAAATTGTATACTAAAGAAGATGCACTTCAGTTTTTATGTTGGGTGCATTTTTACTGATGAGGGGCTGAATCCTAAGCCCGGGGAAGGCAGCAGTCCTCATCCTTAAGGCAGTGCTTTATGTGGAAGGGAGTGCTGCTTCTTGCCTTAAGTCAGGTGCAGTCTGATGAGGGAAGACAGAGCTCTTACAGATTGATAGTGCAGCACATGCTGGAGAGACCTGTGCACAGCTCCCTTCAGCTCTCCTGACGCCTTTTGTGTAAAATTGGAAGGATGACAAGTGACAAATCTATAAACTGGCTCTCACAGGGTTAGTCAGCAAAGACTTTTTGAGGACTGCAGTCTTAGAGACAGTTTTATAGCAAGGATCTTGCATGGTTTACAGACATTGTAGGCTTGATTACTCCTGTGTGTAAAGGTTTGCAGATCAGACAGGGTTAAAAGTTAATATGGGAAAGGCTAGTTTATCTAGTTAGAGAGGAAGAGAGCCTGAGCAGAATAGTTTGTTGGTGAATGGCAGAACTTTTTCTTGACTCTCAAGTCTTTAAATGAAAAATTAATTTTTAAAAGATTTTTGCTGCTCCATTTATAGTAGAACAAAAGTCAGTTGAGACTTGCACTCATTCAACTTACTGAATAGGTAAGGCCTAGGTTATTGTTTTCAAATTTATTCACCATGGAACTTTGGTATGTGAAGGCCCCTTAAAACCCATGTGCTCCATAACCACCCAGCAGCTATTCATCTGCTATCTGGCTTTTTAAAGGCCTCCTTTACCTGGTTCTCAGGACAGAGCTTGAAGCCAAAAGCTCAGAAATCTATGAATATTTATTTTACATCTAAATAAATTATCTTTTGGGTCTCTAGGACAAATGCCATGACAAACAGAAGCTGTTCATTTCACTGAGTAGTTTTAGAAAGTAAAAACCTTAAACAAGAATAAGTTAACTGAAAAATACACTTCAGTTCTTATAGATTCCTTGAGATT